ATTCATCACAGGTTGAAATAATATTTTGGTTGTTGAATGAGGTAAAATATAGTCTTAAAATTAATTTTAACTGATTCTTTTTACTTTTGTTTTTTAACATGACTATTAGAAAATTTTAAATGTGATTCACATTTGTGGCGGACATTGTATTTCCGGTGACTCCTGGTTTTGAGCCTGGAATTCGGAAGATATGTGACCTCTAGAAAAAAAAAAAATGGAGGAAGAAAAAACAATCTCTTGTATTTGCACATGTCTTTCAAAAGGAAAAACATCTTTTTTATTTTTATTTAATTTTGACAGAGAGAGACAGAACATGAGCGGGGGAGGGGCAGAAAGCGAGGGAGACACAGAATCCGAAGCAGGCTCCAGGCTCCCAGCTGTCAGCACAGGGCCCGATGCGGGGCTTGAACTCACAGACCACGAGATCATGACCTGAGCCGAAGCCAGAGGCTCAACTGACTGAGCCACCCAGGCGCCCCAAAATCCTTTTTTACTAATGTGGCTATTACTCATAAGAAGGTGTACTCATAAATAATGGATTAGGGGTCTCCTGGGTGGTGCAGTCAGTTAAGTGTCCGACTTTGGCTCAGGTCATGATCTCATGGTTCGGTTCATGAGTTCGAGACCCGCATCAGGCTCTGTGCTGACAGCTGAGAGCCTGGAGCCCGCTTCGGATTCTGTGTCTCCCTCTCTTTCTCTCTCTCTCTCTCTCTCTGCCCCTTCCCCTCCCGTGCTCTGTCTCTCAAAAATAAATGAACATTAAAAATTTTTTTTAAAAATAATACATTAGGATTATTTTCCCAGTAAACTTTCAGTTGAGTTCTCCCGGAAGAAGACCATGGCTCACAATCCACGTTGGAAGGTGACCCAGGAGGCATCTGTAGGGCAGAGGGGAAGCGGGACCAAGAAGGGAAGGAAGCGGAAAGAGGGTGTGGACTCGAGCAGGTTGTTGCTGTGGGCCACTGGGCCCCTCTCGCTGGGGCTCTCTGGAAGATGTTACGGGGCACGACTCGGAGCGTTCCCACTTGGGAGATGAGGGGAACTGGGCTTTTCATCCACCTCCTGCCCCTAGAGGCATCAGCTTCCCCTTGTTTTCCCCAGCACCCCAGCCTGCTCTGCCTGGGGCCAGATAAAACCCCAGTGCGGAGAAGAACAGGACAAGAACAGGTGCTCGCAGCCTAAAGTCACCAGCAAGCCTGAGGCACGGGGTTGGTCCCCTTGTTGTGGTGCCTGCTACTGACACCAAACTGAACGCGTTTCGATGGTTCCTGGTGTACGTGTTCATTTTCTCCCCTGACCTAGACAGTAGCCCAGATTGTGGATGGGAAGACTGAGCCCGAGAGTCCCTTGTCCAGGAGAATTCAGGTGGGAGGGCAGCCCCCCGTCTCCTCACTCTGCATGTGTGGTCACTCCGGCCTGCCTCCTTCGGTCTCCACGAAGCTCAGCTCCGTAAGGAGATGTAAATATGTTGACGTTTCCGAGGTGAGAACAGGAAACTAAAACTATTTTTTTGGTACTCTGTAGAATTCCTTAGATATCCACAGGGAAGTGGATACTTACATACGCTTAGTCCCCCGACCCTTATGCCAAAAAACATTATCTCTCTTCTGCACAAAGCACAGCCAAAATTAGGAGGTTATAGGACCTGCTGACCGCCACACAGGATGTTAGCGATACAGTTAAGTTCTAGAAAACTCCACAGAAGTCCCTGTGGTGGAAGCTTCTGGATGCATGGTTCGCTGAGCGCTGGATTTTGTTACCTTCCCATTACCCGGGCTTTCTTCGCAAGTGTTGTCAGTCCCTTTGGTACTTCTTGGAAACAAGTGTCTCCCGGCTTCACTTCCCTTTATTATGCTTGTAAGTGACTCAGTAATTCTTTGTGGACTTCAGTAACACTTGTACTATTTAAATGTGAATAACCCCAAAGGATCTAGATAGGTCAGTGTGTTTAAACCACAGGCTTTAGTCTACACATTAGTTGATTAAAAACAGATTTTTATACATGATGTATGCTCAATAAAGGGAGGGGAAGCAAGCAGATGTTTGTAAAATCTAAATGTGTTAGATTATATTTATTCGGCTCTCTTTTGCTGACTCGCTTTAGAAAACTCATACCTGTGATAGCTGAACCGTAAACAGTTAGATGATATCTTTCCCTAGAAATTTCCTGCTCTGAAGGGTCAGCCAAAAAGACAAGTAAAAAGATTCCCTAAGATTAACATACCAAAAGAAGTTGACAAATACACCACAAAGTAGTCATATCTAGATCAAGGACGACCCTGAATAATGGAGTGCCTCAAAATTATACTCTGGTCTCCGACCATAAAATGATTGGTGGCATTTTTCTCCTTTTAAAATATTTCTATTTGAGACTCTTTGAGTGTTTGAGAGTTCGTGTTGGTCTTCCAGTCCGGATGAAATATGTGCAGAACCTCCCTCTGAGTTCCGAACACATGAGAATTACAGATAAAATATTTTCAAATGGATTTTTAAAGCCAACAACCGGGGCACCCAGGTGGCTCAGTCGGTTGAGCATCCGACTCTGGCTCAGGTCATGATCTCACAATTCGTGGGTTCGAGCCCCGCGTCGGGCTCTGTGCTGACAGCCCGGAGCCTGGAGCCTGCTTTGGATTCTGTGTCTCCCTCTCTCTCTCTGCCCCTTCCCCGCTTGCGCTCTGTCGCCCTGTCTCTCTCAAAAACAAACAAACAAATAAGACTAATAACCGTGTATAAACATACGAGGAGAATCTCCAAGGACTGGAAATGAAAGGAAATGTAGAATGGTGAGGGAAGGCTGAAACTGGGCTACTCATGAGAAGTGGGGACGAGACAGAGCAGTGGGGACCTGAGGGGCACACGGCGGAGACAATCCCGCACGGGACAGGAGACCCAGGGCTCCCCAGGTACATCCTGGACTCATCGCTCCCACCTTCTCTGGAATTGGATCCAGGTAGAATTCTCAGGGCAGGAAACAGAGGCACCGAGTCATACCAGGATCTGTGCCTCTCTGACACACGGGTGTCTCGTGGGAGGGTCCTCGCCAGGGAAACAACCCCGAGCCCCGTCATCAAGAGTTCGGGTTCTTAGGAAGTGTTGCACACAGGAAAATAATGGAATTGCTTTTTTTAAATTTTCGAATAGGCTGAGGAATAAATAAGAATGTTTCGTTCTCTTGAAATTATGAAGGAGGGGGGCGCCTGGGTGGCGCAGTCGGTTAAGCGGCCGACTTCGGCTCAGGTCATGATCTCGCGGTCCGTGAGTTCGAGCCCCGCGTCCGGCTCTGTGCTGACAGCTCAGAGCCTGGAGCCTGTTTCCGATTCTGTGTCTCCCTCTCGCTGACCCTCCCCTGTTCATGCTCTGTCTCGCTCTGTCTCAAAAATAAATAAAAAAAAAAAAAATAAATATCATGGAGGAGAAGTTAGGAGGGAATTGCACCCTGGGAACAGGAAGAGAAAGTAATTCAAGAAGAGGGAGCTGTGATAAAGAATCTGTGGGAAATGAAAAAGGTGGTCCTTGGAATAAAAAGAATCAGGCAATAGGATAAAGAGCAGATTGATCGGCTTAACTTGCTTAAGAATGACCAGAGAGATTTCTGCTTCTGACTTACACATCTTAGCCGTTAAATAAAAGCGATTATTTTCCTGCATACACCTTCCTAAATCTAAAGTTTTGGAAAGTAGGAGAAGTAAACACTCTGAGAAAGCAACTTCACCGTGTAATGAGCTATTATCACCTTTATGAAGTTGTAAATTTTCATAATCCGCCCCCCATACTCTTTTCAAATCCTTTCTCTCAGATGGCATTACAAATCCTCGATCTGTTTTCTTTTGCACAAACTTTCCTTCTGTCCCATATGTCCGCTGAATTTGTGAATTGCCTGACTTTTGAGACACATAGTCGCCCTAATCCTTTGCCCTGATCTTGGTCCGTGACATTGTTCTAACCCCTGCCCGTGGACCGCGCTTCCCCGCACACACCTTCACATCTTCCCAAGAAGTCCCCTCTTGTTCGCCAGACACTCCCTCGCCCATCCTTCCACCCGCGCCCACCCTTCCCAACTCAGCGGGAAGACTGTGTCCTCCGGGAAACCTTCTCCAGGCGGCCCCGGCTCTGCCCCTTGGCTCGCTTAGAGCATCTCTCACCCAGCGGCAGTGCCATCTCCTTGTGGACGGGCAGTGGGCGTCTCTATTTTTGCTTCCCCAGTATCTCTCAGAGTCTGGCTTTTAGTAGAAACTCCGTAAGTACTTGTAGGAGTGGATGAATGAATGGATGGCATTAACGGAGAATGAGAAGTGGGTTATTGTGGTTGAAAATGATGTTTAATAGTCATTGCAGGGAGCTTTAACTTTGATGTTCTCAAGGAATAGGGAATAATTCTAGATTCGTAAGCAGGATAGTGATGTGAAAAATGTGGCCTTCAAGGAAATTTGATCTGGCATTGATAGGTTGATAGGCAAAGAAAAGAAGTGTGTGCAATAAAATGTACCGTGAGTGAGTAAATGTGTACGGCGAGGACCTCTTATATCTCATAAATGCCTATAAATAGTCATAATGTCAGCGATAGCCGGATAATTCAAACCTTCCTCTGAGGGGCTGGCCTCAGCCTGCCCGTAAGATGGTAAATCCTAAAAATCCAATAATGGTTGATTTGCTGTGGGAATATACTCCTTATATTATTGCTATTTCTGATTCAGGTAAAGAAGTAGAAATCCAATTACCTCCTTTCTCCCTAGTTCGTGACCTATAACTAATTATTCAGGTACATGTGCCGGAGTTCGTACGAGAAGCAGGAACAAAAAGAATGAAATTCGAACCTTTTTTGAAGGTTCTTTTAAATGCAGCTTCTCAAAGCCGAGCTTAAATCTATAAATCCTTAAAGCTGCATAGATTTCATTGAGGTTTCTGAAAAATGGATCGGCTCTTCCTGAGTATGAGTAATTTTGTGTATGCTGAAGTATTAAAAGTATGCCGCATAATATTTTTCTTCTCTTTTTGAACAGCAAAACTTAGAGAGTAACCTCACCAACCTTATTAAGAGGAACACGGAACTGGAGACCCTCTTGGCTAAACTCATCCAAACCTGCCAGCACGTGGAGGTGAGTGTCTCTGTGCGCTGTGTTTCACGTGAGAACTGCCAGACCGCTGGGCTGGTTTATCCCCTTGGCTTTTGTATTTTTAAGATGGCAGCCTTCTTAAAATTAGATCTTTTGGAGAAGCCAAATAGAAGAGATGCACAAAATCGAAGGAAATAGAACCTCGGAGAATCTCTCCCCACGCACTGCTTTGTTTTGCCCCCACTGCTGTCTCTGCCTCTGTGCTCCCACGACCTTCCCCCTGCGTCTCTGTGTCTATGACCAAACCTCCTTACCGGGACACCAGTCGTCGGACTGGGGCCATCCTACCCCAGCACGAATTCACTTCAACTTGATTACGTCTGCAAAGACCCTACTTCCAAATAAGGTCATATTTGCAGATACCGGGAGTTAGGACTTGGATGTAATTTTTCCGGGGGCGGGGAGAACATGATTCAACCCACCGCAGGTGTCTATAAAATGCATCTTCGCTGTCACATATGTTTCCATGAAATTGACCACTTGTTGGGATTAAGTCAAGAGTGTGCTTCGAATGGATTCACCTGTGGCAAGGGTGTCTCCAGGGAACGTTTTGAGCCTTGTTGATTACACAACATGGTAAATAACAGTGAACAAGCATAATGTTTTCATTATTGTAGGGTAAAGTGAATATGTGTTATAGGAATAAATGGATGAACAAAATGGAACGATCCGCGTGCTATATTTTATTTTTATGATGTGACGGCATTTGACGTTTAGGACAATCAGCAAGAATAATTTCTCTCCAGTAAAAAAAAAAAAAAGACATAACGTGTGTTGTTTTTTTTTTTTTTTTTCAACATTTATTTATTTTTGGGACAGAGAGAGACAGAGCATGAACGGGGGAGGGGCAGAGAGAGAGGGAGACACAGAATCGGAAACAGGCTCCAGGCTCCGAGCCGTCAGCCCAGAGCCTGACGCGGGCTCGAACTCCCGGACCGCGAGATGGTGACCTGGCTGAAGTCGGACGCTTAACCGACTGCGCCACCCAGGCGCCCCAGAAATTACCTGTGTTTTATGGGGAAATCTTACAAAGCCTTTACAGATTGGGTGATCATTCCATTCAATTTCAGCTAGTGACTTCTTAAAGCACTCAGGGTCTGGTTTCCATTACGGCCGGTAGTGGTTTCAGAACAACGGTCTTGCTCCTAATGCGGTATTAGTATGGCTCGAATTTACGAAATGCTATCGTTGTAACGTGTAAAACTGCTTTCTATGATGTTCAGCAATTTCGAATGATTGATAGAAATTTATAAGCAGATTTTGTTTTGATGCCAAAAGATGAGATATTTAGCTGTGATAAAGGCTTTCGAAATAAAGCTACTTACTGGGGCGCCTGGGTGGCTCAGTCGGTTGAGTGTCCGGCTTCGGCTCAGGTCGTGATCTCCCGGTTTGTGGGTTCGAGCCTCGCATCAGACTCTTAGCTGACAGCACGGAGCCTGTATGTCTCCCTCTCTCTCTGCCCCTCCCCAGCTCGTGTGCTTTCTCTCTGAAAAATAAACATACATAAATAAATAAACAAATAAATAAATAAAGTTACTACTGAATTGATTTTAGCAGGCTTGCAAGGAGACACATGTAGGCCATGAGAAGTTATGCTAGACAAGGAGTCAAGAATATTCATTCATTTTACTGTGTTTCTGAACAAAGCCTCCAAATGGAAAGAAATGCTTGCAGGTGAATAAATTTGGTATTTGGGAAATTTCTTCTAGACAAAAATGAAAGAAAACGAATTATGAGTAGAAAAGTAATGCTAGGACTACCTATGTTTTTACATGTGTCTCTTATTCATAATTATCAATATTCTCAGAGTGTAACTTCCCAGCAGTTGAGCATCCAGTTCTCATACAATAACCAAATGGGTCCGTTGGGGATTTATCGAGGTCACTGATGAAGGACCGGCAAACAGTGGGGGTGGGGGTGGGGATGGGGTGGGAGTGCGGGAGGAAGGGCGCTAGAATCAGGCAGCTGAATGAAATGCAAAACTGGTTGGTGACGTAAAGGGCAGTAAAGTCATAACGTTTGGGCAAAATGAGTCATATATCATCAGTTTTCTCCAAGTGTCCAAGTTGACATTTAACTTTGCAGAGACTGAGCCTCCATTGAGAGTAAATAGAAAGCCGAACTCTGTGACATCCCAGCCTGAGGAGTTACATGACCCTTCGTTGGGCGGCCTTGGTGGAGGATGTTCTCCCACCGCCCCGGCAAGGGCGCACAGTCTTCTTGTTGCCTTATTTCCACGTGTTGGATAATGTAGCTTAACGTGACTTTCTGCTCTGTCTGTTCTGGACACCGTTGATCTATGAGTTGTGTTCACTACACAGATATTTCCGGGCGAGGGTGTAAATTTTTGCTTCCGGCCGGTGACTTCGGTTGGTTAAAGCGCCACGCTTCTCTGTTCGTTCCGTTCGTGTGTGGGGCGTTCACTGTGCTGGGTGCCGAGGACCCACCATCTTGTCCAAGACAAAGCAGTAACCACAATACCAAATTGGAAACTAATTGCCGTAAGAGAGGTACGGACTCCGTACTTGGAATTTCAGAGAAGCCAGACGTTTCTTCCAGCTGGGTGTCCCAAAGGCAGTGCCTGATGTGAGCCCGCCTCCCAGGGTAGGCGGCCTTGAAACCGAGGCACGGGGATAGAATGAGAAGGAGTGTATGTGCGCACAGCAAGTAGTTCGTTCTGTAGACACACAAGGTGTGTCGGGGGGATCAGTAGGAACCGGCTTTCGAGAGCTGAGAGCTAGGTGGGCTTTAATAATTGCATCCTTGTCTAGCTATATGTGCTCTTGAAAGTTTAATGAGGGATTGAGGAACACAGAGACTTGGGTAATTTTCACAGTGACAACTGGCATCCCTGATTCTTTTCAGGAAGTGGTATTTTTGCCTAATGGAAAGTTCGAATGGACCTCTTAGTGCAAAATGCACTAAGTGCACACCCAAGGGAAAACCTCACAGCACACTACCGAACTCCAAAAAGCCAGTGGAGTTTGTCAGGCACTTTTAAATGCAGGCAGTGGAAAAGAATTTCCGGGTTCGCATCCTAGGTTCCTAGACTGTGTTTCTTCCTTTTCCTCTTCCTGAAGGTGTCCTTGTTTTCGGGCATGAGCATTCCTAGGGAAAATAATCCCGTGACTCTCAATTGTTGTAAATCAAATCAATGAATTCCCACCAGATCCTGAGGAAATGCCACATCCTTATAAGTCCACACCTCCTTCCTGGGATTCACTTCTGCTTTTCTTTAGAATGAAAAGAGTTTGAAGGTCTCCCTCCCCCCACACATCCCCATTGTTTCATAACTTGTTTTTACAGCGAGGGTAAGCAAATGAAATGGCTCTTTGACAGTTAAGTACCAAATCTTTTTTTTTAATGTAAGTTTATTTTTGTTTATTTTGAGAGAGAGGCAGAGAGCGAGCAGGGGAGGGGCAGAGAGAGAGAGAGAGAGAGAGAGACAGAATCCCAAGCAGGCTCCACGGGCAGCACGGGGCCTGACGCGGGGCTCGAAATCACGACCCGTGAGATCATGACCTGAGCCGAAATCAAGAGTCAGATGCTTAACACACTGAGCCACCCAGGCACCCCAAATCTTTTTAAAACTAGAATGAAGGCCGAGGCAGTTCAGGCCTCAGGAGGGGAGAGATACTGAAGGAACAGTATCAGGTAGGCTCCCAAAACGTGTGTGCGTAACGTGGTGGCTGGGATTCTGAAAATGAGTGGGTTTTTAGCCACCGGGCTTTGGTTTCTTCAGAAGAGGAAGACATTAGAGGATTCTCTTGGGGTGAGTTTAGCGTTAGTTCGTCTCAGCCTCCTCCCAGTTTTATGTTCAAAATCAGAGGGCCCAGTTTAGTTAAGCAAATACTGACATGTTTCAAATTCTCCACACATTCTGAGAGTCGAGTCCTTTCACAGAGACTGTTAACACCCGGGCACGAAAGAGATGTTCCTTTGGGGAATCCGCTGAGAGATGGTAAAGAAAGGCTGGGCAAGGGTGACTAATTAATTGCCAGATCAGAGTGGAGAAGACAAAGGCTTTTTTTTTTTTTTCCCAAACAAATTCCTTTTCACGCTGAGTTTTTAAACGATCGTTTTTCCTTGATTTTAATGGAAACTTTGTTCTTTCGCTGGCTTTCTCTGAGTCTCGCCACTGCTAGATGACACGTGAAGTGACAGACTTCCTGGGGGTGAACTAAGGGCAATTTCCTTCCATTTTTGCCCAGATGTTGGGCTCCGTGAATTGAGAGGGAGGAGGGTAATATGTTACAGGAGCTTGTAAGAAACGGTTAAAAACATTGATTTGGGAAAGCAGGGGGTCTGTAAAAGACTTTTTCAGTCATTTACCACATCCTAAAAGCACTCAATTGTAAGCTTTGAAATAAGAGGGAAAATTGCTGGGTTAAAAAAGAAGCATGAGGTTTTTATGTTTATTTTTTTATCTTTTTATTAAAAAAATTTTGTTTACGGTTTATTCATTTTTGAGAGACAGAGCATGAGCAGGGGTGGGGCAGAGAGAGAGGGAGACACGGAATCCGAAGCAGGCGCCAGGCTCCCAGCTGTCAGCACAGAGCCCGACGTCGGGCTCGAACCCATGAACCGCAAGATCACGACCCGAGCCGAAGTCGAACGCTCAACCGACTGAGCCACCCAGGCGCCCCAGGTTTTATGTTTAAATTAACTTTATTATACAGTTTGACGCAAAAGCGCTCTCTCCCTCTCTATGGAAACCTTGGCGATTGCTCTGTCCACAGCCATCGCATGAAGACGAGCATCTGAACGCCAAATGTGCTGTTTGTGTTTTGTGGACAGGTGTCTGACCTTGTATGACCTATGTCCCGCTGGGGGCCAACTTGAATGTGCAGAGTCACCATCTCTTGTCACTTGCAGATGAGGGTTAGATTCCCACCCCACCTGAGCCCTCATGAGAATGCTCTCAAGGTATAATTAGAGTCAGATTCTGGCCTCCTGAAACCACATCATCCATGGGGTCTCCG